ATGTGCAGAACAAATGTGCAGAACGAATAGAACCATAAGTTCTATTCCCATTTTTATCCAGTTTAATACGCTCTTTGAATTAACCTTATCATTAATGATAATATGTAAACTGGAACACTATAATTGACTTCCGCTTGTGGAAATTTTAATTTAGGGCGATTAATTAAACTGAAATCTGTTTTATCACGATGCATTACATGCATGTCCTCACAAATGTCTAGTGTAACGTTGGATAGATTCATTGTCATACGGTCCCAACAAGCAGCAACGTAGTCTTCCAGCCGAAAATAATTACTTTTGATTCGGGTCAGTAATTATAATAGATAATAACTTCGGCCAAACGGCATTATTCGGCATTAGTCGATATATATCGAATAATGCCGTTGGCCTCAGTAATTATCTATTAATGAGTGTCGAATCAATAAGTATATTGAGTGTCGAATCATACGAATAGAGTGCTCGATACAAAAGTAGAGCAAATGAAAGACAAACTTGAGTTACTTCGTTTAAAACATTTATTTACCACAAATTTGTTCGTATGGCAAACTAAGCTTGCTACCCTCATCAGGTGAATGATGATGATATTGCGTATTTAGGCTACATGATTGATGTTATAACCTATAGGTAACTTGAGTTACTATGTAAATGTTTGACGTTATCATGCAGGAAAGCGTAAACCAATGTCTGTAAACCTGAGCTATTGGCTGCAGAGCAGGAATTTTTTCCTGTGCCTACATGCGGATATTAGTTCGTTTCTTGAGTTCAAAGAGCTTAATTTGGGACAGTAAATTATAATAAACTTTTCGTGCAAGCATAATTTACAACGTTTTGTTTTATTTGAGTAGGCCTTACATTTCTTTACAATTTTCCGGCGGATGGAGTATTGTATGTTGGATTGTTTCAACTGCCAAATATATTCTCTCAGTTCGGTTGAATATTTACGTTCCGGGTTCGTGAACGAGCTTGTGTGGTTATAGTAACTATAGCAACTGTAACTATAGCTAGTATGGTTACTGGTTAGCTTGTGTGGTTTACGCTTTCCTGATGACGTCAAACATTTATATAATAACTCAAGTTACCTATAGGTTAATAACATCATGTAAATACTCGTGCACATGTATATCTTCTACCAACCTCGTCCCCAGGGCCTTTTCAGGAAGGAGGCGAAGGGCAGCAAAGGCCCTGGTAAAGGCTGGTGAAATAATCCACAAATTGTGGATTATTTTGTCACGTGATATATCGGAGCAAATACTATACAGGGTGGTGCGATCGCGGATCGCTTTAGCTACAATATATTCGTCAATATTGCATAAACACCGAAATCGACAAATAAAGAACAAAAATCTATTTTAAAATGAAAAAATCTGTTAAAGTTCTTCCAAAAATATTGAATAAATCTGAAATTGTCTTCAAATTAGCTCTGAGAACCTTGGTTGAACTGTAAAGGAGATCTATTAAATAGACAAAGCAACAGTGTCGAATGGATCGATAGAAGTATTTATACTATGAATTACTGTCGCAAGGAAATTGCTGCCTCGATTGTGAAACAGATATGTAAAATCACTTTAATTTAATAATATGAACTCTCAATACACCATATCCATGATCATCAAAACATTTAATAGTTATTGTTGCTACAATAGATCTTTCTTGCAAATGTCAATATCATACAGTATATTTATAAACAGTTACTGTAAAGGGAGTACAAGGTCCAAAGAATGTCTGAAAAACAAGGAATGTCAACATCCTATGCACTTGGAATTTAAATGCTTATGTTAGCCATATGCCCTGAGTAATAAACCTGGTTGACGTCCATGGTTAATTAACATTTCCTGAATTTAATTGAGTTGAAATATTTTATTTTATTTTCATTCTTATCGCAAGAACATATTGTGAACACACATATAGTGCTTTGGGTTTAGATTTCAAAGGCCCAGCTTCAAAACAAATATTGTGATCTTAATGATCAGGCATTCCCAAACAATTACATGCATGAGGGTCAAATCAGACAGAAAGCCTCCATATGCTTTATCAAGGCTGAATAATATAATGAGAGGGAATTACTTTCCTCATTATACTGTTAACAAGCCCTTGTTTTTGTTTGTAATCAATTACACAAATTACTTCCCAGAACATTATTTAAGGAGATTATTTGACAAGTCAGCAGGTACATTTTTTCCTGAGCCACAATTGGGGCAATTCAGTGTCACTCATCACAACAGGCGCTCAAAATCCCTCACAACATACAACAGGCAGTTCAGCATCACTCACCACAATTGACTGTTCAATACTGTGTGCCTCAGTAGTGTGCCTCAAATCAATATTTTGCTCAGATCAACAACAAATATCAAAATTGAACTCATTCTCAAAACATGATACAATAACAAGGGGTCTCTTCTGGACAAATACAAGACACCTGATGTCAAATGTATCAAGTGACAAGATTATTCATCTCTTTTAATATAAATACATTTTGCCGCCTTGTAATAAAGTACTATTTGTTGTTGGTGACCATCAGTTGAGCAATTTAAAGGTACTTCGCTTCACCTCGTATCTTTATACCTGATAAAACTATAGTACATAAAATAATAACTATGATATTTAGCCTGAATATTATTATAAATGTATGAAGGATATTATACATATATTCTTGATGCTCAACATTATCCGATAATCATTTAACATGAAATCCGATAATCATTTAACTACTGAGAACTGTGTGAATTCCTGAATTACTTATTGTTAGACTGTACTGACCTCGTGCAATTATGGTTATTAACCAAAATCTGACAATGTCTCTAGTTAACCCATTGAGCTGCAATGTGCCCTACTTACTGAAATTGACTGATTTGTGGTTTATGGGGTTTTTTGTGGCAATTCTTTGGGCATCACAAGTGCATTTGTATATCTTAATACACTGTGAGAATACAAGTATTAGTATTTAAAAATTAAATGACACAATATGATGTAAGTTACCTTTCAGGTATATAATTTGTATACAGCATCAGTGGTGTAACTTAACTTTTTTGCCACTTGCATGCCCTCAGGGCAAGTTGGACATGAAAATTGGTTGCCCTGAATAAAATCCAGTTGCCATCAGGCAATGGGGTACCTATGCGGGCCAGTATAAATTAGGGAGACAACATATCCACTCATTGGACTAGTGGCATTGGCTATGTTACTGCCTCAGATATAGACTACCTCAGATCTAGCTTTGGCTCACATATTAAACAAAATTTGAATCAAGTACACTTATTTAATTTAATGTAACACTAATCACCATTATTTTTAATTTTTTTTTTATTAGTTTTACAATAAGAAATTGAAGGCACAGACAACAGGACTAATAAAGTCCCAAATTAAGTCCTGCCATAAATTAAGTCCTGCCATATTTCGTTATCATATCATGAATAAACATTTAATAACCAAAAAGAGAATCAATGCGTAATATAATCAAACAATTTAGATGAATTTGATGCAGATGATTTGCCAGCTTGAACCAATGTCGTCGAACAGCCTTTATTCTATCCGACAATAATAATATGAACTGAAAGCTGGCCAGCTTTTTGTGGCAAAGCAACTTGCCCGTTCGGGCAACCAAGAGGAATCTTTTACTTGCCCGTCATGATATTCACTTGCCCCGGGCAAGTGTAAGTTACACCTCTGAGCATAGTAGTTGCCATTTGGCAGCTGTTGGTCTGGTTAAAGTACTCAGATAATTTGGGGAGACCCATGGCATGCTCTCTCAACAGTGAAGGTTCAAAAACACACATGCCGGAATGCTTATAGAATACCTCGCCATTTTTCTGCATTCATTGACACATAAATAAGTACAAGAATCACTTCATATTAGATCAATTTTGAGTAAATTGACAATGTTTACAAGGAACTAATAGTGCATGGTAAGGTGTGAAAGTTGTGGGTATTCTATAGTTGTATCAAAAAAGTGAAAAACCAAGCTAAAAGCCCCAAGAATACCTGATTGCCACAATGTCAAAGAGCATAGTTGCTGACTAAGAAACATCTATTAGACCATGTACAGTACTTGAGTCTTGTGATATTGCTTTTGTATTATACGATATACTGTAAACTTGCTGTTAACATATTATATTAATATTCATGGTTGTCAAATATCATAAAATCAACACACAAAATTCACACACAAAGGTTTAAAATAATGTATATTGGTATAAACGTTTAATAAAAATGCATACATACGTAACCCATGGTCGGCATGGAATTTTGTCACTTGGCACAGTACTTTAATGTTTTTTAATGTTTGTCCCACATTAAAATATATTGAGTCAATGACAGTGCAACTGTTCATATTAAAACGTTCTAATCACATTTTACATGCACATTTGTATTCAGTAGTAAATCTTTTCATAAAGGTACATCAAAGTCCCAAATCAAATTCTTCACTGACAGTATGTTATTGACTCCCAAACGACAAATATTATAAAACGCGCTTCCAAGCTGAAAAGAAATATTTACTGTTGTCAGTCAGTGTTTAGACTCTTCTCTTTGAATCTTGATCTTCGACAAGTATTGCTGTTGATTATATTCCATATTTTTTTGAAGAACATCGCAGACTATATATTTATTTCCACTGTCAGTTGAAAAGTTTATCATCATAGTTTCATTCGCAAAAGCTTCTATCGCCCCTTTGCACGGCCATGTTTGATAAAATCAAAGCGGCCCGCACCCCCGGTTTGAAAAGTTAAATATTCTGAAATATTCAAAATTTGAAGCATCACGTGACCAGCCTTTACCAGGGCCTTTGCTGCCCTTCGCCTCCTTCCTAAAAGGCCCTGGGGACGAGGTTGACCAAAATGGTATTAGATATTCAGACAGTACATCATATTTTAAAAAATACAGCACTTCAAAATGTAAATAAACCGTTTGTTTACATACGGACTTGACTTCCACTTTAATTAAACTATTAAACCAGCCGATCAGCTATGCAGGCTTAAACAGTTGAGAGAACATAATTTTATACAGCGATAGGCATTTAAAAACAATATATATTTATACATGCAGGAATAGCGTAGGCGGCGAATAACTAATGCAGGCGTCTGGATACTTGGCTCACTTTGCCGGCCAAATTGTTATTTGTTTCACATCATGAGGGGGGCTATAGCCATAAGGAAAAGGTGATTCATTAGTCAAAATATTTGAATAAGTAAAAATATAAAATATGAAAGTAGTTTTGTTTCATTTCCAGGACAGAAAAGTATATATTGGTGTGAAAATCATTGGTCACTCCCAGCGGCACTAGCAGAGTGTTCATGTCTGTTGCCCGTTCTCATACTTTCATAGTTCTTTTTTGCTGCACCAAACCAAAATTCAGTTGTAGACGTATTTTTCTCACTACATCGGTGTTTCGGGTCTGAACACTTGTCACAGCGGCCAAGAAGTCGCGCATAGTGCCCATTGTCACATTGATGCTCGACCATTGATGTGTCGAAATTACATTTACTCGTACGACTGACGTCGGGTCGGAGACGGAGTATCTTATTATTGGTTTGGAAGATCATTTGAGTGCAATTCATGCAATTCGTACCTTTTATATCGAAGTAATCCACAGTTGAACATTCTGGACTATGATCGTATGCTAAGGGATCCGTTATCGATAGTCGTACTCTGATGTAGTCTCTAAAGTCGACACCATACACAGAATAGGAACATGTTGCCCTCCAAAATGTCGAAAGAGACGAGATTTCGGACATTACAGACTTTCGAAGCCGAAAAAGCTTCCAGTTTTGACTATGCTCGTTTTTCGGATAATCTTCTGTAAACGAGTATTCCACCAGGTAAAAGTGATGATTCAGATCAAATGATTCAAAGAGGGTCCACGCCATGCCTTCCTCGGAGTCGAAATCACAAAAGACTTCAAACAATTTTCCGCTCGAATCTACAAGCGTATACTTTCCAGACATCGGTTTGACTTGGTCAGTCCAATAATCCAAACATGTTTTCGGATTTTTTATTTGACACTGGTTTCCATAGTAGCCAGCCGTGCACTGGCATTGAAATCGTCTGGTGGTGTAAGTGACGTTGACAACACAAGTAGCCCCGTTATAACACAATGGAGATGAGAGTAAGCAGCAAAGTCTTGGTGGACTGGATGAGGAATCACATGTACTCTAGAAAAGTGAGAAATTACATGGTCAAAATGAAATATTTAGTACATTAGATGCATTAGTATATATTAAAGTTTTTCAAAAAGTATTCACATTTACTGAAATCATGTTGCCAGAAAGTAGCGTTCAAAGGTGTAAAAAATAACTTTCTTCCTGTGAGCACAACCTGACGATAAAAATTTTCTGCAAATAAACGGGCAGAGTATTTTTGTGAAAAACCAAGCCATTGTCCGCATAAATATTATATAATGAGCATGGCTTTGAACTTAAGGAATAAAAATGCTTCTCAAATACTAATTGTTATATAGACCCATGGTGAGACAAATGTGTTACTGTAGGTGTTTCTTCAAATTTTCAAGTTACAAATCTTCAGTCGAAAAAATTCCTGTGCCTTTTTAAACATTCCTGCAGAGCTGCACTCGCGTGCACTACTATTTTCTCCACGTCTGCATGTTAGCGTAAAATTGAAAAGAAGAGATACGTTTGGAAATGTCTATAATAAAACGCCTGTGTCAAATTTTTCTTGATACGATGATGGACTTACCTTAAAGGGGGGAAAATCATAGTAACGACACCCAGGCTTATGTCGCAGTGATTTTTTCACCAACTTGGGATTTCCAGCATTCAAATAACATGAATTCTCACAAACAGTGAAGGACATGCATCGACAATCAAACGAGCATTCTACGAAACATTCCGAGTCGCTTTTAACAATCTTAGTCGCCAGATTTCGGCCATCATGCAAGAATCTGTCCTGCACTCCATGTTCGACGTTGAAATATATTTGACCGCATGTGTTGCAAGTTTGATCAAAGCTCGCTAAATTCTGCATGAGAAGAAAATACAGCACACCGCTATACGTAAATATATTTCCAAGTATGATTTTTCCAGGGATACACTTGTAAACTTGGCAACAATTTTACAAGCTCTTCTCTGGCGCGACAAACCCCACAAACTGTCAGTTCAAGGGAAATTTCGGGTTAATATGTGTTTTCTCGTCGGTGTGGTAACGCAACAGGTAACGCAGCATGTAACGTTAGTAGTAAACATTGCTCATCCCGTGCAGCCTGTTCTTCATTATATTACATTTTCATTATTAACCACTTTTAATCATTGCTACTTAACAGGTTTTTTGATCAGCGTCGACAAATTTCCCGCACGTTTTTCTACTTTCATTTGACATAAAGATATTTTAATGAATTTGCTGCTCGAACGGGCAAACCGAGGCCGCCTTTGCACATTTTTAATGTTTTCAGTTAAGCCGAACAAATCACTATATATATAACGGTTTATTTTGATTTACATTACCTCCGATCATAAACTATGCTCTGATTCAATATATAATTGAAAGACGTAAGTCAAAATAACCCGCTGGCGATTCGTTCGGTTTAATTTGAATACATTAAAAATATATTCGAGTTATAAAAATTGTATTTTTACATGAGAAAAAATACAAGTTTGAGTCAAAAGCAATATGGCTTATCTACGGCTTTCACGTCCGAATTCGAAACAAACAGAGAATTCTTAAGAATTAATAATAATAATAATAATAATAATAAAATAAGAACAATTGGTTTGGAAAAGCGATTATAGTGTCGAGTGTATATGTACTTTTGAACGGCTTCATAAAATTTCGATTTATTTGAATTCTTACAGCCCGTATAAACAAAGTTGAACTTTTTCCATTTGCCAAGAATTGCACAGCAGGGCTAAATAATACAACTCTTTGAACAGCATACCGTGGACAAGAAACTGATTATTCACGATATCCATGAAACGCACAAGCTGGTGATAATTTACATTTTATCCTAAATAAATAAGTATTCAAACCACAAAACCCAAGCCTAAAGCCTGTGTAAAATGGAAGCATAGGACGACAAATTACATTTATGCAATGTGATTCACCTTATTACAAACCACCTACCGCCAATGTAGCCACTGAATAATGCAGGCATTCTTTTTCCGCAGCTTTGTTTTCTGGGTATATGTTAAATAGCAAAGAATAAAACAATTTGGGATAATTTGGCTAGGAGTAACCTTTCTCCTAGCCGATTTATTGAAATTAATAAAACAATAATTAATAATATATATGTATGAAAATATTAACAATTTTGCCCAGAAAAGGGTGGAGGCAGATTATCGCCCATCTGATTGTCATGAACTGAGATAGAGTATGTACACATATTTACTCTGAGTTACAAGATCAAGTTCGTATTAATACTGGATAGTGTTATATATAGTAAGTGTTAATTAAGCTGAGAGGAGGTCTGGGGAGGAGGTGGGTTGAGATTTAATGTTGATCTGTTCACCAGTACAGTTGTAGTCGAATGATACTTGCTTTGCGTAGCTATCCATTTTATAATGATATCAACCACACCTCTCACCCCCTTACAAGCTTTTCGCGCTCTATTTTTAAGTATGGCGCCAAGCTAATAATATTAAGAGTTCTAATCTTTGTAACGGCTTAACACCTACTTCGCCATGTCTAGTTCTTCCTTATACAAGCACCTTAGATAAGACGATTTTACTCTGATAAATCACATTACATAAATTCCTTATTTTCTTCGCAAATATTTTGTTTTATGCAATGTGATTCACCTTATTACAAACCACCTACCGCCAATGTAGCCACTGAATAATGCAGGCATTCTTTTTCCGCAGCTTTGTTTTCTGGGTATATGTTAAATAGCAAAGAATAAAACAATTTGGGATAATTTGGCTAGGAGTAACCTTTCTCCTAGCCGATTTATTGAAATTAATAAAACAATAATTAATAATATATATGTATGAAAATATTAACAATTTTGCCCAGAAAAGGGTGGAGGCAGATTATCGCCAAATCATCGAAGCAAAACGGAGATGAAACGCCACCCCAAGGAAAAAGAATGCACGCTCATCCGGCGAGATTTATGGGCCACGAAGGCAACCAAGTAGCTTATATCAGCAAAAAGTAGAAATGTAGCCGCCCTTGCAGATCGACTACGGCAGGCGAAATGTTGTCATGCAATGTTACTTTGCCTAAGCCCAAGTTTTTGACGGATACAATATTGCCACACCAGTCCTTCATTGAATTAAACATTGGATTGCCTTGTCTGCCTTACTAAACAGGCAGATAAAATTGCGAAGTAAAACACCCAGGTCAATTGCACAATACGCACTACGTAAGAGAATATACGACATCGCCCTTGCTGATGACATATCGGTGCAATGCGAGTTATGCAACCAAAGGGCGCTGACAGATTGCATGATTGCCCTTGCTAATCACGCTCAAAATCATGCATGGGAAATTTCAGATAAAATTGAGGATAAAACACCCCGCATGTTTTATGCTCAGAAATCAAGGTGAAATGGGATATGTCGATATAGTAGAAATTCGCAAGTATTTTAGAAACGCGTTCGATTTCCAACGCCCCAACGCACGGATTTGCGCATCAGAATAACCATTTTCTACAGCGTGGGAAGCTGCACCAATCCGAAAAGAATGTGACTATAGAGATTCCCCATTTTAGTATTCCGGGTTTTAGAGATTCCCCATTTTAGTATTCCGGGTTTTAGAGATTCCCCATTTTAGTATTCCGGGTTTTAGCATTCCCCATTCCCCGTTCCCCGTTCCCCGATTCCTTTCCCCGATTCCCCATTCCTTGTTATAGTAATAGCCGTAATAATATGCTTAAAATTTTGAAATGTTAACTTCAGGCCTGCCACATGGTTATTCGTGTCATATATCCGCGAGAGCTGATGTATTTGTAGGGGTTGGTTATGTGATGATGTGATCGTTATTTCTCCAATCCGCAGAAAAGCAAAAAATGCTAATGAGCACATAGCTTTAAATTGACATATCTGATAGTGAGAACCAAAAATGTGAGGCGAAGCCTCAATAATGCGGTTGAGAATTGGTAGTGTTATAGGCAACCAACTGTCTAAACAGAAGCCCTTTTTTCCATACCTCTTAAGTATTTGCACAATGTAAAAAACTCTCGTCGGATCTGGTAAATTCGACAATCGATGAGAATAACCAATAGCAGACACATATGTGTTAACTGTTGATGGAGCGTAGTTGAGGTCAAATAAATAAGCAATAAAAAGTGCCAAGACGGAGGGCGACAAAGGCAAAGCTACTGAGCCCACGTGAAAAACATTTAGATGGAATTGTGTAAAAAGTGCCCATGCCCGCCTATACGTTGGAATCGAAGATGGTTGAAGGCTGGATTGAGCCAAATCGCCAACTATATTGGCCAGCTTCCGGGCTGCAGGTGAGATGGAATGTGCATTGGAAATCGATGCATGTAAGCCGGTGCCAATTGTAGAAATTTTTGGATCTGAAATCGAGATAAACTATCAGCTAGTATGTTTCTGCTACCAGCTATATGTTTCGCTCTAAATAATATATTATGTTCCAAACATATTAATACCATTTTACGTACTAAGGTCATAAGACCGGAATCTTTTGAAGTCTGTTTGTTGATAACAGAAACCAGAGCTTCGTTGTCAGTGAAAAAGATTATACACTGATTGTGCATTTTGTGACCCCACAAATATAAACTGAGTACAATCGGATAAAATTCAAGTATGGCAATATTATAATTCCGCCAAGTCGCCGGCCATTTTCCATAGCACCAGTCAAGGCCGAATATAGCACCAAAACCAATAGCGCCAGATGCGTCCGTATATAAGTTAAGTTTATGGTTGTTGCTCCAGTAATCGTCCAAAAATAGGGATTTGCCGTTAAAAGAAGATAAAAATTCCTGCCACACGCGAAGATCATTTTTGACATTACGCGTCAGCCGAATGAAAAAATGGGGACGAGAGATGCCGCGTGTTAAATCTATTAATCGTCTTAAAAACGAGCGGCCTGGGACAACAACAGAACAAGCAAAATTTAGTAGGCCAAGCAAAGACTGAAGCTCTCTAAGAGTAACTTTTTTGCGACTCAAAAAACTGGCAATGGATTGGATGCACTTCTCGATTTTTTCGCGAGGCAAACGAGCCTCGCATTTAAGTGAATCCAATTCAATACCAGCGAACGTAAGTGTAGTCGAGGGGCCAAATGTTTTGTCTGGTGCTATGGGAATGCCGAGAAACTCACAAAGGGAAATAAATAACTCTAAATGGGCTTTACAAACACAATACGAAGATGAAATAATAAGAAAATCGTCTAGTAAATGAAGGAGTTTGTCGATTCCGAGTTTTTTCTGAGCAATCCATTCAATCGCCGTGCTAAACGCTTCGAAAGTGCGACAGGAACTCGAACAGCCCATAGGCATTGCGCGGTCATAATAATAACGG